AATAGAATAAGAGAGATATTAAGTTTTGAGCTCGGTAAAGTTTAAGTTTTGAGCATCGGAGCGCGGAATCCGAAAGTCTGAGGTTCGATTCCTCATGGGTACTCAATATTTTTTCTTTGTCCCACGCTCGTGACAAGACCGCCATAGTGTCAGTACAGCCTTTTAGAAATACCATTCAAACAGAAGCGTTAAGCTTAAATGTTGGAGGCTGTTACTCAAAACGGATGGCGATGGTCACTCCCATTTTTTTTCATTGAATGCCAATCAGTAGATCAAGAATCTAAGCAAAATTTTTCAAGATCTGTATCACTTTAATTGTTTCATGAGGGGAGCTACCAAGCTTTATTTTGAGCTGAGATACTGGAATCTAAAGTTGGAGACTTGTCCTTGAGGCTTTCATGTTACTATGGCAATCTTGAATATAAAAGATTAAATAAATAGATAAATAAAAAAATTTGGTTTAAAACAGATGGTTATTTCTTGAAAACAATTTTTTAAGAAACAGTATTTAGTATTGATCTGCCAAAAATCAGTGTTTGAGCACAACAATTCCAAAGCACAACGTGGAGTCATTTCAAAAACCGAGGTGAAAAAGTACTCCAAAGGAACTGTCTTCCAAAAACTGTATTCTTACACGAAATTCTTTTAACCATTGGATCACTTTCCAGCCAAAACTTGAAGCCTTCTTTAGCCCGTTGATTGTACACCGATGGACGCCTTTGAACTTGGGGGCGTGGTAGGTCGTTCGTCTGTTGGAGAACTTGCCTCGAAGATTTCTTCTCCATCGGTTTGCCTTGATAGTACATGGTATATGTTTCTGAGACGAAAGTTTGGTTAGCCACATTAACGTAGTGACGTTAAGTTCACGTTTTTGAAATTCTGTCAGATTGATTGCTTTTCTGAAAAACTAGGTATGTCTTTCAGACTCAAAGTCAACTCGAACGGACTCTAACGGTATTTTTAAGACCTTAAGTTTTCCACAATTATTTGAAACAGCTCTAAGCTACGTCGCGTCATTACTTTTCTCCTTTTTCATTGGTTCTATTTCATTTTTATCACGAAATCTAGTGAGCAGAATGATTGACTAAGCCCTGTCTCCAAGTAACGAGTATTAACTATTAACCTCTAAGGAATTTTTTAACTCAGCTAAAAATCACAAACCACTACTCAAGGAGTAGGGTAACAAGCAGGGAAAGGGGGAATGGGGGTTCCTGATCCCGTTTCACCCAAATTCAAATTCAAGCGTCACGTGCAGTTTGTATTTCAAGCGTCACAATTCTCACCCAACATTGCCTTACTGTAAAACTCCCGCGTCTCGTGTAAACCCTTTACCAGTTTCCTAAGCCTTTAACTCCCATGAGTGACCATGACAGTATTTCTCGTTAAATTATCAATACAATACTAAGCAGACAAGTGATGAGAATAGAGAAAAACATCAATCAAGTAAATATTAGTTGATCCAATACCAAGTTTTTCGAACTAACATCCTAACAATTGTACTGACAGACAATAAGAAGGATCACTAATAAGGTCTTGGAGAGAAAGGGTTAATGAACGCTGAGGAGATTTTTCGGCCTTAGTCCTAGAGCGCCATTTAGTAGATACCATTATTTCTGCAAGTTCTGTCTACTTACTCTTTAACAGTTCTTCTCTGTGCCTGCTTTGATCATAGTAATACCTCTGAAACGCACTTGACAGCTTCGGATCTTTCTGAGAACGACTAGCCAAAATTTCCTTTGACGGCAAACTATACGACATACGATTTACGAAGTCAACGTGCTGAAACAAAATTATTTCAAAACTTCGTTTAGCTTTCTAAATAAATTCAGGCCACAGAGAAAGGAGGTATTGAAACAATTACTCCGGCAAAAGGTTTTACCCCTGAGATTGGTCCCAGGCAATTTTGAATTGAAAAATATTTTGGTAAATGGAGGCGTTGAGAGGCTCCTGTTGACAACGCACTTTTGAGTTTCGTCAAATTCTGGTTTGTTCTTTCAGATGCCATTTTCAACGAGTTAAGAAAGTATACAACATGCCTTGAATGTATTTTTAAAAATTAAGAGATTTTTCAAATTTTAGCGGGGCGTAACAAGAAGTAAGATTATAATGACCAGCTTTGCTGATAGTAGCGGCCAACTACGCTTCACCTCCAATATGCGAGAATTTTTTTGGGATATCTAGAAGTTTCCGAGATATTAAGAAAACATAAGGAAAGTTTTGAGATATTCGTAGCTTTCATGGCTGAGGTATTCGTTTTCTTCCCTCTAATCTTAGAAAAACTCAGTTCCATGTTAGAATTTCCGAGACGTTTGCCATGTGATCAAATTATCAGCAAGAAAAAATTAACTCTGAACTGTTTGAGAAATTTAAAAATTTTGATATTTTTTGAAAGATATTCATCAAACGATTTTACGTGATATTTAGTATGAGCCCCCTAACTTATCTTACCTTTCCCTTCAGCTTTGCCCAGTGGTCTGTATCCAGCTGCTGGGCGAGTTTTAACGAGGGTACATCTTGTTTAGACCAGTGTGACAAATTCTTTCTATGAGGGGGAAATTCAAACAATCTATTATGTTTTCAAAACCCGCACCAGGAAGATGAAAACTCAAAAGAAAACAGTAGTAAGAATGCCTCGTATGTAAATCATCTCCAGTCCGAGAAATAAAGGAAATTCGAACATATATGCGTAGTAAATTAGTAAAAATAAAAGAAATAAAATACTTTTTCAAAATTCCGCTTTGAGTGTAAAAGCTAATTTTAATGGAAAAAATTATTTCTACAATAAAATTTCGATAGCGATCTTCTACTTGGCTCAAGCACAATTTACCATCAGATTCTGATCTTGAAATATCGATTCCATCGTCAAGATGGTCTATGAGCCAAGCTGTAAAAAATCTTCGAAAATAAAGATCCATTTTTGGAGAAATATCGATTGGCAAACGCTGCATCGTGAAATCAATAATAATTATACTTTGCTGCAATTTCAACGGGTTTTCACTTGTTTTGATAGACTTCAAGCTTTAATCGACACCGTCTACTGGATATACAAAGTTTCTTTCCGCGAGGCAACGACGATCTCTCGCAGTCGAAACTGTTTTGCTCCAAAGACTGAAGAAAGTAGAGCATATTCTTTTTAGATGGTCAGATAGCGACAGGCGAGCTTATCTTTCTTAAAATGTAAAACATTTCGGTTCACGACAAATTCAAATTAGGCTATTGACATGAAATGCTTTCGGTTATGTTTGCCTAGAACACGTCAGAAAATTTTCCACCTCACCTGTGTTCCCAAACTTTCGGAAATTCTCGGGCGACAGGCGCATGTGAAATCGCTGGAAGGTGCAAAGTTGTAGCCATTTTATCCAGCCACCTTTTATCGCAAACATTCGAGTAACTAAGGGACCCGCGTAAGCTTTTCATTGATATTTAATTAATTCGGGCTCAAAACACCTGCCCTCTTGGGAAGAGATCTAGTTTCCCTCTGCACAAAAGATGGATTTATGACACGATGAAGTGTCAACAAAAACCATTGTGCTATCAAAGTATGCAATTGTTATTGCTTAAAGTGTATGCGATTTAACTGTTTACTCTGTAGCTTTCTCTATTCGCATTGAAGAATGTAATGGTTTTTTGATTAAAATTTCTTGTGGCAATCTTTAAACGTGGTGCCCTGTAGCTTACATTTGCCAAAATTTGAATTCAACTTATATTTAGATAAGCACTCTGTCAGAAACAGTGCAATTTTCAGTTGAAGTGGAGACAAGTAAGCCGGCCAGAAGTCTGCAAGAAGTCTGGTGCAAGACTTCTGGTGAAAGAAACGTTGGTGTGGCAGCACTGTTAATAAGGGTCTCCCAGCAGACTAAAAGGTGAGTTCAGGAAAAATGAAAACAATTTTCCGTGCAAGTAATTTCGGGAGCAGTGAGGAACATGCTTTGTAAACCAGTATTCGAGGAAAAAAAAGCTGAATATGTTTTCCTCTGTAATTGATATTGTTATTTTTTTTCCCTGATCATGCACCAAGGTTTCCCATTATCTTGAGTTTTAAAATCTTTAGAATATGGAATCGTTATTATTGACTGAAATATCGCAGGAAAGCGTATTGTTTGCAGAATCTTTCATTCTAGCTTGTTAGAAAGAAAAGAAGAAGAGAGCATTTGGCATCCCGGGACAAGTGTAATAACTTTATCGTGCATTTTCTATAAACACGGAAATAAATTATCGATTGCCCATCGATTGGGTGACAGCAGTCAATGTCAGTCGCATCAAAACCATCAATTCCTGTCAGTTGATTGTTTATTTCGCAACTATTTACCTTCATCAACTGCTCAGCCAAGAATGAATGTAACACACAGCTGATTGGCTTGTTTGGAAGTGAATAGCAAGTACTATTCACCTCTGTGCAGCCGAGATTAATTTCCGACCATTTTTCGGTAAACCGAAGAAATAAACTAGTTTTTGGTATCTTTGTGGTATATGCTAAAACAATTTTTTTACCTCAATGTCAGTGAAAATGGAGGATATTTACCTCCACTTTGGTGAATAATTGAAAAACATTGTATAATCTTCCATATTAGAATTCTTCACCAGAATTTGACGCACTTTTTGAGAAACAAGAGCCCTTTCACTCCCAAGATATTGATATCAATTCCTTACCGACTAATACATATTTCGTAAATTTTCATCTCCAAGAATTTGGCTTTAAATCAAAAGACACCCTCAAGTTGATGTTTGTTAGTCTCGTACCCAAACCTTCCACGGCCAAGCGGTTGTAAGATCCCACATTTCAATTACAAGGTAGGATCTGGGTACGAAATTAGATGTTTCTATTTTTCCCCAACACTTTTCTACCTCACAGTGTAGTAATGCTGTTTGGAGAAATTACCTTATGGTCACTCCTGGCGCTGAAAGAGTTACGGTAGCAACTTCTCTCTGACAGTCAAAATATCTACAACATCCACCAAAATATTTGAACGAAGTCTTTGATTTGCACATTCCCTATACTTTATCAATAGAGAGGAAAAATCTGAAGCAACTGAGCAGCGGGGCAATTTAGGACGGGATGCTGTAAAAATACATGGATTGAAAATGAAATTATCTTTTTATTTTAAACTCGTTCCACGAATGACCGGACGTGCGTATCGTCTATAAAGGCACCAGATATCGACTTTAATATATAGATTTAGCCAAGCCTAAAAGCGGAGCTCGCATTTTTTTTCCCGCACGTCTCAAGGGCACAACGCCTTGCCCCGGCCAGGATTAGAACTCGGGTCGTCCGACTCGGAGCCCAGTGCACTGACCACTGGACTACTGGACAAAGCCGTGGCATTGGCGTGCCCGCGGTACAGTTGACCACGCATGTTAAAAATAGCACCTTGTACGGTCGGTCGTACGGTCGTAAGTCCAAATTTTTTCGGCTTGATGGGTTACTACTACCATTTTGTATAATTATGGGGCTACGCTCTGCGAGCTCCGCTATTACTAGAGATGTGAGCAGTGTTTAGTTCAGAATAGAAACATGAACAATTTGGCATCTTGGTGCCCGATCTCCAAGTACGAAAATAATATTAATATCAAATTAACAACGCTTTGACAGAAAGCTGCAAGGAAATGTAAAAAAGTTTAAAGAAGCACTTCCTAAGTTATTGTTATTCTCGTTTCTGCTGCCGTTGTGATTTGATTAAGGCCCCAACTGACGTATTGACATCTTTTAGTTCTTGTGGATACTAATACTCTATGAGATTGACCTCTATGTTACGCTGTCTGTAATAGTGATTGTAGTTGTCTATCTTCGAAAGCTGTTCGGACCTCAGTCGACACATATTCGTAGCCCATATTTACCTAAGTGGTACAGTGGTAGAGATCTGATCTAGAAACTGGTCGGTCCGGGTTCGAATCCTCATGGACACAATTTTCGTAACCTTTTATTATCTCACATCTATGGCTTAGCTCTCTCTTTTCACGTCACCTTCTCGCTTCATTTAACCTAAAAAGAGCTGATTCCTACAATAAATTCGATATTTAATGATCCTTTTCCATCTAAGCTGAGAGTAAAAGAGCTCTAACAGAATAAAGGTTCTGCCTCAGTCCCTCAAACTGTCACATTACTAACAGTGCCCCAATGTAAAATTTGTTCTCATCAAGAGGACGAGTCATCGTCTTATCAAAACGGCGAAGCAAAGGCGTCTTTTAAACTCTTCGTTAATGTCTCTCTTGAAAAAAGAATAAGCCAGAGGATTGATTGCTGAGTTTAGCACTAAGACAGGAATTTTATAGAAAACATCTTTACATTCGTTTTTGCTATGATACAAGAAAATGACAGTACATCGAATATATATCCCGTAACACACAAGAAACAAACTTATCACAATCCCCATCATTATAATGGCAGACTTTTCGTGAGTTTTGAAGAAAACCCGATGGTTAAAGTGTAACTGTTTCGCCAATGAGCGAGCGGCTCGATTATGCTTAATGACAACCCTAAACATAGATACAAAGCAGAAAATCAACATCACACTTGGGAAAAACTCTATGATGAAAACTAAACAAACCGAAAAGTGAAAGAGAATTGAATTCTCTTTGAAAAAGTGCTTGTACATTGCCTGAACAGCAATAACGGCGAAGGAAATTACCCAGGATGAGGAAACCATCTGAATGACTCGGTGACGCTTCATAAATGTCAAGTATTTTAAAGGTTTTACAACAGCAATGTAGCGATCCAGGACTAAACAGCAAAGGTTGGTCACAGACGCATATGCGAACAGGTTCCTCGCGTCCCAAACAATTACACGCGAAGTAAATGACAATTTACAGCCATTTTCCATCTCACACACAAACAGCGAAGGAACAGCGCTCATCCCAACACAAAAGTCCGCCACGGCGAGTGAAACGATGAACGCGTTAGTTTTGGTGCGAAGCTGCCGTTTGCCCCAAACAAGGAAGATGATGAATCCATTTCCAGTTATGGCCAGGATGGAAAGGGACCAACTGATAATCCAAAACCAAGTTTTCATGATTTTACGATCACAAACGATGCCTTGCTTGTTGATCAGCACGAAGGAGTCCTTGGACATCTGCCACCTCTAAGGCTTTGGCGTATTTAAATTACCTCACTGACGTGCTGCAATTGTCATCGGAGAAAAAATTAAAGATTAAGATATAACCCTTAAACAAACTATCTTCATAAATACCTGGCCATCAGACGCTTGCAAAAAGTAATGCCGCCTGCTAACTGTGCACAGTTTTTGAAACCTTGTCGTTAAGTACACAGGTTATGACCAAGGATTTATCAGTTGTAGGGAAGAACTTTCCAGTTTTGACTATTCAAACTAGTTTTTTTTCTATTATACAGAGCTGTTCTAGACCAATATTCATATCAGAAAACTATTTCTTTCATTGTAAGCGTAGGGAGAGAAGGATCATTTTTAGGCGTGACAAGCAGGCATGACAGTCTGACAACCTTTAATAGAGTAGCCTCCGACGCTACTTCTCCATTAGAATGCCAGACATTAACATATTTTGAACATTGAGAGCGCGTTAAGAACTATACCGTTCGTTAAAAAAGAGCCCCGACTCAGTGAATTAGTTTCCAGCTGTCTCTTTTCCCTTTCAGAAGAACTGCTTTCTGGAGCTTTGCTACAGTATGAAGGGTAAACAAACCATTGTGTCAGCAAAGAATACAAGCGTTATTGCTTGAAGAGTTTATGGCTTGCATTGTAGCTGTGCATAATTGCCTTGACAAATGTCATGGTTTCTCGTGAAATTTTCCTATTTTACTTACCTTCTAATTTTTTTTATTCGGTAAACGTTGTGCTTTGTTGTTTAAATTTGCCTCACTTTGAATCTTGTTCATCAGCTGGTATTCGGTCGAAAACGGTGACAAATCTAGCGACAGTTACTTTAGCTTAAAGATTGGTCTCAGGTGAGAGCCTCTTTCCACGACGGTTACGTTTTCTAATATGATTAAATAAGGGTTTTTTTCGCTTTTACTAGATCATGAACTAATACCATCCCATTATATCAAACTCCCTTTTTCTTTGGAAATCTTTTGGATATTTTATGTGGCTCAAGTTTTCGATACTTGGTCGATGGAAAAGCCCCGAGGCAAACCGTCTGTTATTTTATAGACTGTTACATGTATGCCGGGTTGGTGGTGATTTAACCAGGATGCACTTCAGCCCAGGCTCATGTAGGGAGGCCCTGAGGATTCTTTACCGGCAATCTGTGGCTGGTTTGTAGCCGCAGCACAATCATCGCCAAAAAATTTATGGTCTCTCCTGGTAGTATCAAAAACATCCACCAAAATATTTTAACCAAGTCTTTCATCACATCTCCATCACTCGACACCGGCATAAAAAGAACCAGAATCATCTGAACATGCTACGCATGACTGGGCAACTTTTCTTAAAGTAAAATTTTGCGATGGCTATACACTCTGTTATCAGCAACTAACATTTAGGCTAAATTCTGGAGAATACAATATGATCGTGATTTCGATATTTCACATTAGTTCAGTAACAGTAATTCTCATGACAGGCCCTAAGTGAAATGAGTTTGTGTGTTGCCTCAGATTAGAATAGGGAAACTGGAGTTTTTTTGATGGGGGGGGGGGGGGGGGGGGTCCAACCTTGGATTAGGAAAACACGGAAATTTTTCCTTAACACGATCGCCTGAATGAGCCAAGAATATCTTTCGACAAGTAAATTTCAAATAATACGCGACTTTCCTAATACGGGGGTCAGAGTGAACGCTGGGTTGGCCAAACCCGTACCAGGTCCCTCAAGGGGTATGTTGTTTCGCACGGCTTCGATCTTGGTTGTTGTTGTGTGAGATGCAGAGCCAAAAAGAGATCGCAAATTATCTGAAAGTTGTATGTTGACAAGCCTTTCTTATTTCTATGATGGGCCGAGGAGATCATTGATCTGTGTGAGAAAGTGAAAATGACCGTCGACATCTGAAAGGTGAAAAATTTGGAGGAAAACCTCTCAGTTATTTCCAATTCGTGGGTTCGAGCAGAAATCCGTAATAATAGGTTTTACAATAATTCCATTCTATACTAAGCCTAATTCGTATCCAAAAACTAATTTATTACTTATTATTTATTTACAAGCTGCCATCGAAGTCTGCCGACGACCTTTAATAGAGTGGCTGATGACGTCACTAATTCAAGAAGATTTAAGCAAAATCAGCTTCGTGTTTCCAATAAAAGTGCTGAAAAAAAGAAGTCTTTTTGCACATTTAAGTCTATCTTAATAACTGTGCGACATTTTAAGGTTCAAATTTACCGTTTTTTGCAAACAAGAGCAGACAGATAATGAATAGGTTCCAGCTTTGGTGACATGGAAAAATTAAAGCCAAGAGCCTCATTTTCGCTCTTTAAAGCTTGTTATAACTGTTTTCTGAGGCTTCCTTCCAATATCAAGTGTAAACAAAACTACTTCAACTGTCTTCAAAAAGTTCTTGTGAAAAGGTTGAAACATGTCTGGCTTTGTTGACGTGACACAGCAAAGGCGCCTTTTCATTTCCTTGTTTATGTCTCTCTTGAAGAAAGAGTACACAAAGGCCTCTGATGGCAAAGTTTAACATTAAAGAGGGATTTTAAATCCTTTATCCTAGCATGATACATTAATACGAATCGATAAACTTTAAAAGACGTATTTAACCATACGCGAAACTGATCATCCTTGCGAAATACTGCTGAACAAATTGACTCAGTAGGGATGTGAGGATCGACGAAGAAGTAAGGACGACAGCAGCAACGCGGAAAACTTCGGTTGAACGAATGAATTTGTACTTTTCTTAAGTAGTTTGCGAATGGCTGGATGTTTTTATCGTCTTTAACTGCACCAGACTTTAAATTGAACACAATATGTGCAAGCAGCTTTGGATTCCAATTATAAAAGTGAATAATTCGTTGTCGGGGTTCCCATTCAAAGACCGCGAAAATTTTGTTGATTTCGCCTTGACCAAGGTTTTGCAGAGGACTACCCGCGAATGAACTAAGTTTGAAGATGCACGTGAAGAGCAAAGTTTCCTCTTGAAATCGTTTGTTTCACCACGTCCCCATTTCCGTCGCTGTCGCGGTTTCATCAAGAACCCTCTCGAAACAATGCTCTTTTTTCTTTTTCTTTTTTTTACTTCTCAGTCTCTTCAAGAGATAGCAAGCCAACTCGCTTCATTAGTTAAGTCAGAGAGAGCTCATAATAAATTTGCTCTTCGCTGTTCCTCAGCCATTTACGCTGATAATAAAAGAGTTGCTCTAGAATAAAAGTTCCTTACTCAGTCACTTAAACTAACATCTTACGATGCCCCTGTTAAAAAATATCACAGCAAAGCCGTCTCTTAAGCTCTTTGTTAATGTCTCTCTTGAAGAAAGAGTATGCCATAGGATTGATGGCGGAGTTTAACACTAAAACAGGAATTTTATATTCAGTATCATTGCATGATGTTTTACCCTTAACAAGGAAAATAACGCTACATCGGAAATGTATCCCGTAACACAACAGAAACAAACTTATCACAATCCCCATCATTATGATGGCAGACTTTTCCTGAGTTTTGAAGAAAACCCGATGGTTGAAGCGTAACTGTTTCGCTAAAGAACGAGCGGCTCGAATATGTTTAAACACGACTTTTAACATGGATACGAAGCAAAATATTAACATAACACTTGGAAAAAACTCAGTTATCATAACTAAACAAAGCGAAAAGTGGAACAGAATTAAATGATCTTCGGGAAGAAGCTTGTATATTGTTACAACAGTAACAAAGGCGAATGAAACTGCCCAGGATAAGGAAACCATCTGAATGACTCTGCGACGCTTCATAAAAGTCATGTATTTTAAAGGATTTACCACAGCAATGTAGCGATCCAGGACTAAACAGCAAAGGTTGGTCACGGACGCATATGCGAACAGGTTCCTCGCTCCCCAAACAATTGCACGCGAAATAGATGAAAATTTACAGCCATTTTCCATCTCACACACAAACAGCGAAGGAACAGCACTCATCCCAAGACAGAAGTCCGCCACGGCGAGTGAAACGATGAACGCGTTAGTTTTGGTGCGAAGCTTCCGTTTTCCGCAAACAAGGAAGATAATAAATCCATTTCCAGTTACAGCCAGGATGGAAAGAGACCAGCCAAGAATCCAAAAGCAATTCTTCATTTTACGATCATAAACGAAGGCTTACTAATTGCTCTGCAAGAAGTAAGCTGTAGACAACTGACGCTTCTAAAGCTTCGGCGCATATAAATTACCGCACTTAACGTGCTGCAATTGTCATTGGTGAAAACAAAATGTCCTTAGGTCATAGATACCTAGTTATCTACAGCTTATAAAAATTAGTGTCATCTGTTCACAATGCACTATTTTTAAAATCCTGTGTTAGGTACACTGGTTATGAAACTGATGAATCCATCAGCTGTTGGGAAGAACTTACCAAGCATGTTTATAATTTTCACTGCGCAAAACTAAGACTTTTTAAAAGATCCCGTTAATTGATTCGTTTTAAAGCCATCTGTTGTTCAATTTATGGGTAGGAAAGGATTGAAAATTCATAGCCTTCATTCATGCACTTCTCCCCAAACACAAAAATCTTATCTTTGAACGTTCAAACGAGTGTTCAGGCATGTAAAGACAGCTTTTCTAGGCCTAATTCAAATCCATTTGTTCGTCAGTAACAGAGGCAGAGATTTATACAATTGACAAGGATCATTTTTAGCGGCGTCGCAAGCTGCTATGACAGTCTGACAAGCTTGAATAGAGTAGCCACAAGCTGCTTCATTTAAATAACTTTTTAAAATTAGCCTCCTGAATCAGTTTCCGTCTTTGGTCATTTGAGATATATACCAGCCAAGAATTCAAAATCAGGTCTTTACTACTTTTTTGGGAAGTCAATTTAAAACTGTTCAATGTTTAATTTTTTTATCACAAGGTTTATTAGGTTAGAACGAGTGAATATTTAATTCCAGAAAATTAGAACCTCAACCTCGTTCCCTCAGTTCTCTCTCTTCCTGAGAACTAGGTTGCAGTGAACAATCATCTTTCCTTCTTTCCAACATAGGAGGTTACCATAGTAGCGTAATTACGTGTAAAGGGATGATTTCAACGAAGAGAGTGAATGTCACTCTCCAGCTAAGGAGAAAAAAATTACGCTTTTACTTTAATCACTCTGAAACGAGTATTAAATATTTTGTAAGAAACCTTCAGTAAACAGAACATACTGTTGCCGGGCGGAGCATCTCGTTTATTTATGTCCGTGAGAATACATTGACTACGATATAACAATGAGAAGAATAAATACCACTACAATTTACATCAAAGGTCACACGCATCACAGAAAAAAAGCAAGAGCAAGTGATGCCTTCGAATGGTTTCTGCGTAACTTACAATCTCTTAATTAGCAAAACGAATCCCACAGGACTTCCTACGGCTGAAAACATTAACATATCACTCCTGCATAAATTCCTTGCATAAATAACACATAGAACACACTTGTTAAACATTCAAGACCTTACAAAATACATCAAAATAAATTTTAAAGCACGAAAATATTTTCACGGTTAGGCTAACCGTCCACACTACTGCGAACCGGAAACGGAGCAACCTGGTCCCAGATTTATCTTTTTCCCGCCCCTAGGAGCAAGAAGGAAGGAAACCATGGGAACGAGGTTAGAAACGAAGCTTTTCAAGAAGCTGATGTCACTCTTATTTTTTTCTTTCTTTAATTGGATAGAAAAGGGCCTTCATTACGCGCATGTGTGTTGATGCTGTTAAACTTTTCTCCTACAAACATTTGTTACATCCTCAAATTCATCTGTTGAATCTATTTGGCGTCATCGTTGGTTCTGTTTTCTAATACTGTGGAGGGAAAACATGTCTTGGGTCTTAGAGAAACACTGTTTCGAAATTCTGGAGTATCTTCGGTGACAAAGATAATGCAGGTGCACATCGCAGAAACAAATTAGCTAAAGAAAATTAAAAAGGTAATTTCCGGAATAAAATGGTCGCGGGAAAAACGCTGTCAATGGATTTTCCAGCGGGAATGATATTTTTATGGTCATCTGAAGGACTTTTCTGCACGAATGTTGATGAGTTTTTTTCCACTGATTACAAAGATCCAAGTTTACCCTTACCTGAAGTTTCAAAATCTTTAGAATTAAGCATCTTTATTGTTGCTTCAAACTTTGCACTATTTTGTCAAAACGTTTGAGATATTATAGAGTAAAATGGAAACAGTGACTTTATTTCCTAGAATAGACTGTAGTTTATCTTTTACTAGGTACCGTAATAGGATAGAATCTCACCATATCGTGTATCTCTAAAATTCTTGTAAATTACTATCATGCGATCTATTTGCTGTAGTGCTCTTTAAACCATCGATTTCAAATGATGTCATGATTGCCTACTCAGTTTGATGTTAGACCATGATGCAGCCTATTAATCTGTAAATGTGACAGGCAACTTAATGGCTTCTCCTTACCACACAAAATAATGAAACAATCAGTAAAATGTTGGATTGAAACCTGATATTGGTATCTCATGAGCTAAAAAAAGTTCATAATTAACCAGTGAAGTAGACTATCGATCTTAGCAACTGTAAAACGATCTATCACACGATTAATTACAAGCACATAGTTATTTTGACCTATAAGTTCACTTTTAACCTGCAAACCTTTTTTCAAGGTGTTGGTCTGTTGTTGTGTTGCTAATGTTAGACAAGTCAATTTTAAAGATATTGCTCCTTTATTGTTTGAAAAGAAATATCGAAGGATATATCTCTTGGTCATGTTCAGCATAAGAGAGGCTTGAAATCCACTAATGAGTTCATATTCGCATTTTCTCTCAGATCCTTGGCCATTTACACTGATTTTTAAAAAAAAATCATGAAATAGAAGTTCTCGACTGAATCACTAACACTAATTCTTCATAGCGACCAATGAAAAACTGTTCTGATCATGAGGACGTACCACGTTTGACTTTGTTAAATTGACACAACGAAGGCGTCTTTTTGCTTCCTTGTTAATATCTCTCTTAAAGAAAGAGTACGCCAAAGGGTTGATGGCAGAGTTCATCACCAATATCGGGATTTTGTAGTTGTCATCATTGCATGACGGCTGAAATTTGAATAAATGAATAAAACTACATCGAAAATAAATCCCGTAACACACAAGAAACACTCCTATAACGATCCCCATCATTATAATCGCAGATTTTTCCTGACTTTTGAAAAAAACCTGATGGTTAAAACGTAATTGTTTCGCTAACGAACGAGCGGCGTGGTTATGCTTAGATACAACTTGTAACATGGATACAAAGAAAAATATTAACATCAAACTTGGAAGGGACTCAAAAATGATAAACAGACAAGTTAAAATTTGGAAAAGAAGCAAGTTATTGAAAAGGAAATTGTTTAGTGTTGAAACAGCGATGAGAACAGAAGGAATTATCCAAGCCAGGAGAATCATTAGGATGACGCGGCGACGCCTCATAAGTATCAAGTAGTTTAAAGGTTTAACAACAGCAATGTAGCGATCCAGGACTAAACTGCAAAGATTCGACACGGACGCGAACGCAAACAGGCTTCTCACAGCCCATTCGATTATTTGAGCGGATAAATTATTGCAACCATTGACCATCTCGCACGTAAACCATGTAGGAATAGCCATACTTCCAATACTTAAGTCTGCCACTGCGAGTGAAACGATGAACGCGTTCGTTTTGGTGCGAAGCTGCCTTTTACTGCAAATGAGGAAGATAATAAATCCATTTCCAGTTATAGTCAGAATGGAAAGAGACCAGCCAAGAACCCAAAACCAGGCTTTCATTCTCGCAAACAATGTATTAGTTTAATGTTAAAGTCAGTTTGTCCGGAAAGACAGCAAAAGAAGCCATCTGTCACCCCATGAAGTTTTTCAAATCACCATGTATGGTGCAATTAAATTGAATATTGTCCAAAGTGAAATGTTATGACATTTTCATGGCATTAATGAACAGAATGGCGATCTTTTATTCCGTGGTCACTTTGTCTGACTAAGATTCGTGGGTGTATATCTTTAAATACACAAAGGAGAGCTTTGTGATACGAAAGAAAGCTAATTACGAAAGGTAAAGGACTGATAGAGATAGACATCCGTTTTTACGAACTGCATCGTGTAGAAAAATTTTTGAAAAAAAAATAAATGCAAAAATGACAGAAATAGGTTTGTGAGATTGTCCATCGCCACGTAGATACTTAAAAGAGGCAAGAGATTACGTGAGCATTTTTGCTCAGAGAAATCGCTTTTAGTCTGATAACGTTCTAATTAAATAGTCGGCTCATCAAGAGAAAAAATTAATTACTTCTTCCATCTGTTATCTTGGTTGGATTCACTATGACTTCCATCACATAGACTGGTTCCAGGAAAAAGATGCTCCTAGTTTTTATTCTTTATTTTTTTTAGATATTTTCGTTTTATACAAAGAAAATTGGAAGTTATATATCTTATAGCATCGTTGATTATTTATTTAAAGCCCCAGAGGAGATTTCAGATTAGAAAATTACTAAACCAAAGCGATAAAAGTGATTACTTTTGGGCAATTAACCGTTGAAACACAGTAAAAGAGCTTTCGTGAACATCACAGTTTAGCGATAAACATCAACATTAGATAACAAATTTTGTATACAAACATTTTTTAAAGCAAGTGTACTGATTGGTCAATCATAAATTTCCATGGCTGGACAAGCAGCTTGATAAAAATCTCATCTTTGTTTAACTTTAAGCAATGGCTTTCATGGTTCAAACTGATTTTACATAGTTCTAACACAAACCTTGAGTTAACTATAACCAGAACTATCGTGGCAGTTAAGCCTGATTCCGTTCATGTATCTTTTTTCTATTTCAGAATATGCAATGACAATCGTGCTAGATTTTACCCATAGTTACAACAGAGATAACAAGAAGGTTTGTAGTAACCACCTCTTTACCTCAATAGTTGATGACATCATCTACATTTATAATAACGTTCGGATATAACACGTACTGTCATTGGTTGAAAGAGCGTGCTCTATAAGAGTATAGAGCATAGAACTGAGCTAAAGTTGTCACGCCATCTGCCGAATCGGAATTCTTTCTAGCTTTTCTTTCGTTAATTGAAAGTGAAATTTCGGAACAAGCGAGCAAAGGTTTGCAAAAATGCCAGGCGCAGTAATTTACGTTACTGTAACGTGAGCAGAGACAAAAATCCTCAAAGATAAAATAAAATAGACAGTCCGAGTTTTCACGCTGTTAGATTGCGAGTTTACATACGGTAATAAAAATCAAACACAGCTAATACTTGTATAGTATATAAAGTTTCGATTTCAAAAACAAACCAGAAAAAAACAGGAATGATGAAAAATATAACCTGGCATAACTGTTAAAATTCATACTAATCATGACGGTGTCAGAGCGACTGCGATCATGCTAAGGTCTATCGCGGCTAGCTCATCATGGCGATCTTCGGTCATCGCAGTGGAGCAAGCCTCAGGAACTAAATCGACTAACCTTCAAGTGGAAAAATAAGAGTTTGCCCTGATTACCTTTCCGATGCGTTGAGTAGAAAGCCAGATCAGTCACTGCAGCCGAGTTTTACGGCGCTGTTATTCCGAGCGATCTTCATGTCCTTGTGAAATCGGCTGTTGTTCATTCATAATACACACGCCTTGAACAGTTTGTTGTCTGCTTGTCATGTGAAATAACTTGCGTATTTTTGTGAGCCACGATTGGGCCGAATTTCACTGAACATTTCACTTTCAGATCCTGTATTAGAAACTAAAAAACTTCAGGCAAAAGTGTTAAATTCGACATGCCGAGCTATTTTAGTTTGTAAACTATTGCAGAATATGAACTTTGATGGTTTGACATTTTTGACAGCTTTAGTCTTGTCAAGAAGTAGGGAGAAAGAAGTAGGGAGTTCTCCCTACTCAAGAAGTAGTGGATGACTACGTCTCGTGTTTCCCCCTACAATTCTTTCGTGCTCTAGCCGCTTCCAGCGTGATTTACAACAGAACAGAGCACAGTCAAGGCTTCTCTATTTGTTAATTCTACTTTCATCACGTCCTTGTGTTGAAAATCTAGAAAAATTATTTAGATGGACCATTCAACTGATATGCTATCATTCCACTGCTATGATTAATATGGCTTCCACAGCAAAACTAAATTTCAAATTGTATTCTCCAAACAATAATCACAGAATGACTGTGAAAAAAAAGAAACGGGCTGTTTCCATAACATAAGGTTCCCTTGTTCGTTGAGTGGTCCATGTTTTTATAAACTCGGAAATAGTGCTGAAATTCACCTGAACTGTTTAGATTAGGAATTATGACAGTAATCGTTCGACTAGCATTCCATCTGCTATGCTTCTAATCACTTCATGTGAGAGATTCAGGATAAACTCCAGTTGGATGCGCCCCTTGACTCGTACACAGACTCAACCTGTTTTTTCCTTAAAGAAATAACTTCGATATCTCTAGCAGCATTGACTAATTCTGAAGCTTTGCTCGAAGAAATATTCTGGATGAAAATGGGTAAGATTAAAAAAGCTGTAGTCAAACGTTGTGTTCAGTTTCGACCTAATTCAGAAAACACGAACTACTTTTGACCACAAGTGTCGCACGTGACTATTTATGATTCTGAGTGACTGGAGAGGGGTAAATCACGTTATCAATCAATCACATTATCAATCACATTACCATCACCACTTTACATAATCAACTCAGTTAGTAGGACCAAATTATTATATAACACCAAGATAAGCTCTAGAAGGAACGCATTGTTGCGTGACTAACTTGTTGAAAGTGAAGTGAGTCATCCTGCCGTGTTGGGCAAGATATAAAATCACCGCAAATGAAATCAAAACAGTCCATCATGTGGGTCTCATCGTACATTTAACAGCAGCACTGCATTGAAAAGTATTAATCTTAGTCATATTGCCTGATGACGCGACAACTTTAGCGGGTGTCATCGATACTATATAGATTTAGCCAAGCCTAAAAGCGGAGCTCGCATTTTTTCTTTTTTCCCGCACGTCTCAAGGGCACAACGCCTTGCCCCGGCCAGGACTAGAACCCGGGTCGTCCAATTCGGAGCCCTGTGCACTGACCACTGGACTACTGAACAAAGCTGTGGCGTTGGCGTGCCCGCGGTACAGTTGACCACGCATGTTAGCACCTTGTACGGTCGTACATCCAAATTTTTTCGGCTTGATGGGTTACTACTATTTTGTATATATATGGGGCTACGCTCTGCGAGCCCCGCTATCATAAGAGTCAAGTTGATTGAGGAGACTCTACCCAGGTGATGAGTTCTGCTCAGGTTGTCGTTTCGGATTAAACTTTGACAAAAAAATTTAGCCAAGCCTGAAGGAGAAGTCGCAAATGATTCACCTTTTCACTGGTCTTCTTTGGTAAGCGAACCTTAAACCATCAAAAACTCAAAGCCTTGAGACCGAAGCTAATACATATCACAGGTTACGAAAATGATCGAATGATATCTTACTGACTAACTGACTAAGATAAGATCAAGCTGCAAATGCCTACAGTTGAAGAAAGTGAAAAATATCAGGCCAATAAAATTTACCGCAACAAAATCGAGTTCCTAATGTCCGACATACTCGGTGGAAGAGTATAACAGAGTAATTTAGTGTTATCAACTGGGTTGATAAAGTAAATTTGCCACCGTCGAGTTTCAAAACTGACGTTTCGAACGTTAGCCCTTTGTCTAAGGCAGTATGTAGTGTGTCAGTTCGTATAAATGACTTTAATTATTCTTTTTGGAGGCCTACGCTCTTTTTTCCGAGATGTTATTTAAAGCTGGCTTGTAAGTTGGATCGCATTTCAAATTGTAACCCTTCCGTTTTGTTCAGCAAACTAGCTGTGTTTTTCTTAGTCAGGGGCTTTACCACTGGGTTTCATTTTTCATCTCACTTCTAGGTTTTCAGTGTCATCAACACCAAACCAGATATGAACACCAAAGTTTTACCTATATAATAGATAAAAACCTGATGCCAATTTAGAAATTCCAACAGTAGATTCTTTCAGCCAATTAAAATCCATTGTTGAAGGTTTAGGAGTAACATTCAGAGAGTTGTTCCACAGATCTTTTATGCCAGTTTTTCTAAAATTTTGTTCAGCAAACCAGTTGTGTTTTTCTTAGCCGGGGGTTTTATTACTGGGTTTCATTTTTCATTTCATTTCTAGGTTCTCATTGTCATCAACACACCACACTAAACATGGACACCAAAGTTTTATCTGTGGTGCTCCGAGGCCATGGGAATTGGAGAGGAGGACTTTGCAGAACAATTCTCTGTGAATGACTTTCTTCCATCAACGTCACCATAGCTGCGCCTGATTCTTTTCATTTCTTTACCACTTATGTTTATAGCGGGAGATATTTTCGTGAAAAATTACTAATTGGTCACACCTGGTAGAGAAATGATTAAAACAGTTTATTTTTGAAAAGTGCAAAAATCAACGAGGCCACCATAGTAAATCAACAAAGTCTTTTATTACATCTCCTACACTTTCACATGATAAATAGACCAGAGAGATGATGTAGCTATGAGCTCCCCCCTCGCTCCTGTTCTTCAACTCCGACCACAAGTTAAGTAGAACTCAGCTTAAAAGCCTTTTACCCGTAGCCACCGCTCAGACCCATTTCTTACTTAAAGGGTCTTTCTACGACCAGATAGATGGCGTAGCTCTGGGCTTCCCCCTCGCTCCTGTTCTTGGTAGTCTATTGGTAGTCTATTTTTGTTATGGGACATAATGAAAAGTTATGGTTGGAAAAGTGCTAGGGCTCAAAGGTAT